TATAAAAACTGCTAGTGAGCATTAAATATATGTGCTTCCATGTTCAGCTAAGGACAAATGAGGACTATGAGAAAATATAGCATGTTATGTCTTTGCTTTTAAAATATAGCTAGAGAACAACTACTAAAAAAAAAAAAAAAAAGAGCAGCAATGAGCATATTCAGCGCCCAGATGTCTATTTCTAAATACCATTCTTCATTAAAGAAACCACTCCTTGGAGAAGTGGCTTATTCTATGACTGGAGCAGGAAAAATACAAAATAAGCCTAAAACAGCTTGTAATGCCAGAAATGAAAAAATGCTCAAAAATCAAAAGGATAGGCATATGTCAAAGGATATAAGAGCCAACCTGAAAGAGCTTCCAGTGACCAAAGCTGCAACAATTTGAGTAACAAAATAAATAATATAGTACTGGTTTATAATCCAAAATACAAAAATATAAGTCTATACTGCCATAAATAAATGATTTTAATAAATAAAGAAATGGAAGAGACGTGACAAATCTTTCTCACAATAGAATTCCAAACAATTGTCCTCTGTAGGAGATAGAGTTTAAATCTCCCTGTTCCTTGAGCATGGGCTGAAATTAATGAGTTCCTCCAAAGAATATAGAAAAATGGAGGAAAAGGTATTTTTCTGCCAGGTGAAGACACCTGGCAAAATTGCTTTGGCCAAATGAATGTGGTTAATATCATCAGTTTTGAGTCATGTTGACAGCATTGTATTAATATTTCCTGTTGTGATATGATGAGAAGGTCAGTTCTCCTCTGTAGTCTTCCTTCCAAAAGCCCATGATCTAGACAGATTATGAGCAAACATAAGACAAATACAAATTGAGGGGCATTTCTTAAAATACCTGACCAATAGTCCTCAAAACCATCAAGGTTATGAAAAACAAGCAAAGACTGAGAAACTATCATAGATTAGAGTGGCCTAAACAGACACGACAACTAAACACAGTATAGTATCCTGGGTTAGATCCTGGAATTGAAAAAGGGCGTAACTGGAAAAAAGAATGAAATCTAAAAAAAAAAAATGTGGAGTTTTGTTAACAGTAATATAACAATGTTGGTTTCTTATTTTTGACAAATGTATCATGGTTATATAAGATGTTAACAATAAGAGGAATTGGATATACAGAAATTCTCTATTTTTGCAACTTTTCTGAAAATCTAAAAATTATTGCAAAGTAAAAAGTTTATTTTAAAAATGGGAAGCAAATGGGAAGAGGACATGCAAAAAATATGTAAACTATCTTCAATAATCACACTGCTGATGGTATTGGTGTGCTGTCCTGAAAATGATTTCTGTATAATGTGTGATAAAGCAGATGAACAACTGTATAATATTATAATTTTGTTGTCTCCAGTGTGAGAACCAGGAATCTCAGTGTGAAAAAAAAGAAATACAGATATACAGTAGAAATGTTAACAAACAAATCTGAATTAAAATTACTATGAACTTATGAGATATTAGTGATAATACGCATCACTTCCGATTTACAATTTCAATAGAAAAATGTTTCGGTGATTATTTACAATAACCTTGTCTGTTGTGTTTGGTAATTTAGCTTTTATCATTTTAACAAGTTTTAATCTATTCAAGTTTTCCTCTGATTTACGTAATTTAGGACTAGCTATTAATTTTATCACACATTTTCCTTATCTACTGATTTGCTCATTGGTTCTTCTCTATAATTTTTTGATGTAATAAATTATGTCGATATATATTATTCTGGTACTGTGTCACTATGGCATGCATATTTGCTCAAATTGTATCCTCTTTTGATGTTAATACATTGCTAGATTGCTTCCTAAAAAGAACTGGGAGATTTTTATTGTTTTCTTATCACTTGTAGTAATTTCAAGTACGCTAGAACTAATTAGTTTTAAATAAAACTCATGCTACTATGATAAATATGTTACTTTGAATCCATTTGTTGCTGATGTCTTTTCCAATGATGTATATAAAAGTTCGGACAGACGAAGTTAAGAATTTCTTCTATGTAATTTCGCTGGATGTTATCAAGGTAGATTAAGGAGATTTATCATCAAAATTTGGTCAACACAAACTGCAATGCAAACCGTTCTCTTGCTACCTAAAGAGTATTTATCCTGATTCTCAAATTCCACATCACTATTTCTCTTAGAGAAAGATATGAAATGTGGGTACAAATCAATGTCTGGATAATGTAGCTAGAAAAGAGAATGAAAAGGCTGGAATGTTTATTTGTCGTGGCATGGGATATAATCATCTCTTCCCTTATGCTGCCAAAAAATAAATCAGAACAGATAACTTTTGTTTGGATGTTTCCAAACTTAGTGGCCCAATAATAATGCTCAAATGCCACCATATAAAAGGGAACCAACTTTGAAAGTATGTCCCAGTGAAATGAACCCTGTAGCATGTGCACAATAATCAGTGCCTGGATAAAGCCACAAAGTGGATAGCCAGGTGCCCAGAATAAGGGACTGCAACAGAAGTTGGTTCAGTTGTGGTTCCTTCCAGGAATGTTCTGAGATCAGATTTGCAAAATAAATAAATAAGGCTTTCCTGGCCTACCTTATTCTTTCCATACATTTCTGCCACATACTTGTGTAGCACAAAAGGAAAACTATATTCAGAAATTAAAACTTAAACTCCCCCAGCTATTCTCTGTCTGTGAGCCATCCTTCTTGTCCAAGGATTTAACTAGTGAGACTGCACACTGATGATTACAAAATTGAAAGGATCTTTAGTCAAGAATCATTGTGAAAATATTCAGACAATCGGACAATCAGCAAAATGTATTTTCTGGAGAGCTGCATTTTTTATGGTTTGCTTGCACATCGGCAATTTCTTTTGGATTTGCCGTCAAAATGAAGAGAATTCCAAAATTTATTTTTTCTGATTAAAACTGGTAGCCAGTATACTTAGTAATGTCAAGAACTGGAAACAGATTCAGTATTATTAACATACAAAAATTACAACAACTTAAACATATACTTCAAAAGACTTTAAATGAGATTAAATCAAAACTATGAAAGCTGTGATTTCTTATAGTATATAGCATGAAATTTCCATATAGATTTTATATCTCAGTGGAGAAAAATAGCTGATTCCAATGACACTCATTTTGTTTTCATTTTGATAGTCATGGATGCTTTTTTATCCTCCGGATGCTGAAATTGAACTGAAGAAAATGGCTCTTTAAACATAGTCAATTTCTATGTTTATAAAAAAATTTTATTTGGTTTATAGGCTGTCAAAATTGTAATTTTTAATTGCCTTCTGAAAAACGGATATTTGATAATAATGTCTGTTATCAACTAAACAAGTTAGATATCTGAGTTGCTCTTGGGATCAACTGGTTTGTGGATTTTCACACATACATACAAACACACACACACACACACACACACACACACACACACACACACGCACACGTTCCTTGCCACATTTTCAACTTCTTAACTTGATTCAACTGATTATTGTTTTCATAGAAATAAATCTTCAGGTTTTTTGTTAAGGATTCCACTTAAAAGAGGACTGCAGAAGTGATTTAATATTTGGGTAATTTGAGATGAAATATTTGAGGTTTTTGGAAAAGCTTTTCTACTCTATACTCACATATGTTTTATTTATCAAATGCATAGTTAGATTATAGTCTTGAATTATAGTATGACCTGCTGCCTTTTAAAAATAAATAAATTTCACTAAAAATGTTTTTTAAAATGGTCTCCTGGCCGGGCACAGTGCCCCAGGCCTGTAATCCCAGCAGTTTGAGAGGCTGAGGCAAGAAGATCACTTGAGGTCAGGAGTTTGAGACCAACCTGAGCAAGAGCGAGACCCATCTCTATTAAAAATAGAAAAAATTAGCCAGGAGTGGTGGTGCACACCTGTAGTCTCAGCTACTAGGGAGGCTGAGGCAGGAGTATTGCTTGAGCCCAGGAGTTTGAGGTTGTTGTGAGCTAGGCTGACACCACTGCACTCGAGCCCAGGTGACAGAGCTAGACTCTGTCTCAAAAAAAGAAATAAATAAGTAAATAAATAAATCATAAAATAAAATAAAATAAAAATGATCTCCTAAAAGATACCTACATCCTAATCCCTGAATGTTACTTTATATATGAAAGGGGGGAGGGTATTTGCAAATGTAGTTAATTAAGGATTTTGAGATGGGAGAGTATCCGGAATAATGTCCCAGGTGGACCCTCCTAAATGAAAACATATGTATCTTCTTTCTAAGAGTGAGGTAGATAGAGATTTGACACAGGCAGAGAAGAAGGCCACGGGAAGACAAAGCAGAGAGATTTGAAGATGCTGGCTTTCAGGAGTAAAGTCATCTGGCTATAGTCAAGAATACCAGCAGCCATCAGAAGATTTAAGAGGCAAAGAACTTCTTCCTGAGGGTTAGAGGGAATGTGGCTCTTGCCAATGCCTTGGTTTTGGCCCAGTTATACTAATTTTGGACTTTAGGCCCCCAGAACTGTAAGAGAATAAACCGGTGTCGTTTTAAGCAACCGAGTATGTGGTAATTTGTTACTACAGCTACAGGAACATAAAACAGGGCCCCCTAGAGGTTATCTGGGTCAATGATTTCCATACATTTTTTAGCAGCAATTTTGTTCCTTGTTTTTTTCTTTTTTCACTCACTACTACAATTTCTGTGCCTATCTGAGAACTATATTCCCTAACTTGCCAATAATCATTCTTATGTCTCAACTTTAATAAATGTTGATCCCTATTAGGATCAACATAATTATAATCAATTATAAGTGAGGGGAAATAGGCAGAATTACCACATTTTACATACGCAGGGTCTGCAGGTCAGAAATTTTTTTTTGTCATTTATTTATTTTAAATTAGGAGAAAAGAGACACAACCAAAAATTATTTTTATAAGCAAGTTTCTGCTTCTTCTGAATTCCTGAGTGAATTCTCTCAAAAGGATTTTTTATATATTTTAGCAAATATGTCCTTGAAAATTAAATTCTTCCTCAGCCCTGTCTAAGAGTTCGAGGACACACAGTAACTCTCACAACTGATTCAAATCTAGATTTAGACAGCACAAATGACATTGTTCTTTGCACAAGAGCTACAAAATACCACAAATTACAACTCACTAAGTAAGGGGCCATACATATACATTAAATATTTATAAATTCTTATCCAGCCAACTAATATACATATCTCTTATCCTAAAACCTAGACGTAAATAAAGTGGTGGCATCATGAATGCTAAAGCTCCATGAATTCCATTCTCAATATGGTCATGGGTAACTTGAACTCCAACATTTTGAAGTCTCGAAACAAACATAAGTCCATCATCTCTTAAGACATCATATTCACAGGTAAGAATATAAGTGAGTGGCAAATTCTGTAACTGGGAATCACTGGCCAACAAGGGTGATGCTCTGTCATCCATAAGTGCTGGCAATGAATAACCAGGTCTTCCAAGAATTGGTTCAGTATAAACATGGTCCTTTCTATATTTCTCAGGAAGAAGAATACTCCAGTTAACAAACTTAAACAGATGTTTTGACTCCAGAGGCATGTATCGGTTTCTTTTTATGGCCTGGGGAAATGCTTCATCCTCGGATAAATATGAACTCGCAAGTTTTATGGCTATGTCCCTTGTCAGAACTATACCATGCTCATTTTCTCGGTAAGATGGTAGAGAGGAATCAATTAGCTGTAAGACTGGGTAAATTAAAGCTTGTGTCTTGAATTTATGTTTTATTTCAGGATCATTCTGTATCTGAAAAAAATATAATGATATTCTGTCAGGCAAAAATTTCCAAAATACCATAGGAATGAAATTTATTTTTAATCACCTAAGTAATCATGAGATAAACAAGTCTACATGCATTGATGTAATATATCATAATTATTTTCAAAATATTTGTAATATCTATCAATAGCTCAAAAATGTCAAGCCCATTTCAACATTAAAGTTTTTAAAATATTGGTTGTGTGTGTTAGGAAAAAAAGGGAAAGAATGAGAGAGGGGAAGGGAGAGATAAATAGAGACAGAAAGTCACAAGAGGAGAAAGATACATATAATGATTTTTTTGTCAAAAGTTACCAACGGAAATAACCCAATCCTAAATATGATATTTCTGGGGGAAATTGACAGTATATATGTTTGTAAAAATTTATATTGAGTAAAGTAACAAAGGTAAATGGAATAAATATATCTATTAAATAATATCAATTTATTTAAAAATTTTAAAGGATATTTAAAATTTTTTATATTTTTAAAAATTTAGAGCAATTTTAAAATAATTTTTTTGTCTGCTAGGCAAACATTCTCGACATCATGTCATAATTTTTAAGAAACATTATCCAAATGCAAAAGTACATGGACCAAATTGAAAAAAATAAGCTAGTTGAAAAAAAAAGCATCTTATGAGAGAATGGTGCAGTGTTTAGGAAACAAAGGGTAGAAAATTATGAAAAAATTTATTGATGTTCACAAAGTTCGATGTGCAAGGGAAAATTGTGGAGTATTTGATAAGAAGTTTCTTTTCCTTTCCAAAGAGAAAAGACATTTTGAAGTTGGTGACCCTGTAGACTACAGGAGGGAACCTTGAATTAATCTGCCAGGAATAATTGTCTCAGCAAGAGTCTGGCATCTGCAACAATGGCATCTGGACAAATGGAAATACCTGATGCTGCACCAAGTAAAAAACTCAGTACCAGAGTATGTGTCTCTAAGTCAATCCTTCATCACAGTGGCTGGCTGGGCTCAAAGGAGGAACTAAATTGAAGCCCAAGAGGCACTTCAAAAAGGGAAATGGCATCCTACCACCTCCACAATGCACTCCCAAGATGCTAGAGGTTTAACAACTGTAGAATGAAAATGAAATGAAACAAAGTCCTCTGACAGAAACGATCCTAGATCCCAAATCTCTCCCCAGTGCTCTTAGGTAGATAATACACTAACCAAAGAAGATTATCATCAATATCCTACACTCAGTCATCCCACTCTCAATCTCACCAATCTAGGAAAAAAACAGAGACCACATACACAAATCTCTTACCTCTTTCAGCCTAATTATCACTTTCTTCTTATCATATAAAATATTCATAATGGATCTTTCTATTTCATTTTGAATTCCACAAACATTGACATGATATCTAAGTTATCATTTGTTTCCCTTACTGTGCCTAAGATAGTAAAATATTTAATATAGTATGAAAATGATGAAAAACATCAGATAAATGAATATTATCTGATTTATAATTCTTAAAAAATTGATACATAATATTTTACATACTTATGGGGTGCATGTATTTATTACATGCATAGAATATGTAATGATCAAATCAGGGTATTTTGGGTATCTATCACCTTGAGTATTTATCATTTCTATATGTGGGAACTATTTTAAGTTCTCTCTTATAACTACTTTGAAATATACAGTACATTGTACTAATTATAGTCACCTTGCTCTGCTATAGAACCTTAAAACTTGTATCTTCTATCTAACTGTATATTTGTACCCATTAACCAACCTCTCTTGTTCCCCTCCCCCACTCACACACCCTTCCCTGCCTCTGGTATCTATCATTCTATTATCTGCCTCCGCGAGATCAACTTTTTTAGCTCCCATATATGAGTGAGAACATGTGATATTTGTCTTTTTGTGCCTGGCTTATTTCACTTAACATTATGACCTCCAGTTCCATTCATGTTGCTGCAAATGACATGATTTCATTCTTTATCATGGCTGATTATATTTTATTGTGTATATATACCACATTTTCTTTATCTTTTCATCCATGATTGGACACTTAGGTTGATTCCATATCTTTGATACTGTGAATAGTGCTGCAATAAACCTGTACGTACAGGTATCCCTTCGTTATACTGATTTATTTCCGTTTGCAAAAATATCCAGTAGTGAGATTGGTCCATTGTGCAGTGGTTCTATTTTTAGTTTTCTGAGACAGCTCCATGCTGTTTTCCATAGTGCTATACTAATTCACTTTCCCACCAACAGTATGTAACAGTTTTCATTCTTTTTTTATTTTATTTTATTTTATTTCATTTTATTTCAGAAATATTATTCCCTTTTTCATTTCTGATTTTTTTTATTTGGGTTTTCTCTCTTTTTTTCTTGGTTAATCTAGCAAGTGGTTTATTGATTTTGCTTATCTTTTCCAAAAACCAACTTTTCATTTCATTGATCCTTGGTATTTTTTGTCTCTATTTTGTTAAGTTCTGCTCTGATCTTTATATTTCTTTTCATCTCCTAATTTTGAATTTGGTTTGTTCTTGCTTTTCTAGTCCGTTAAGGTGCATTATTAGATTGTTTATTTGAAATCTTTCTATTTTTTGATGTAGGTGTTTATTCCTATAACCTTCCATGTTAGCATTGCTTTTGCTGTATCCCATAGGTGTTGGTGTGTTGTGTTTCAATCTTTCTTTGTTTCAAGATTTTTTTTCTTTCCTCCTTAATTTCTTCCTTGACCCAGTGGTTATTCAGAAGTATGTTTTTTAATTTCCATGTATTTGTACAGTTTCCACAGTTTCTACTGTTATTGATTTCTAGTTTTATTCCACTGTGGTTTGAGAAGATATTTGATATGATTTTAATTTTCTAAAATTTGTTGTAACTTCTTTGTAGCCTAACACATGGGTTATCCTGGAGAATGTTCCATGTGCTGATCAGAGGAATGTGTATTCTATAGCTGTAGGATGAAATGTTCTATAAACAACTATTAGGTCCATTTGGTCTAATGTGCAGTTTAAATCCAAATTTTTTTGTTAATTTTCTGTCTAAGTGATCTGTTTAATGCTGAGAGTGAGATGTTAAAGTCTCCAACTATTACTGTATTACAGTCTCTGTCTTTAGAGCTGTTAATATTTGCTTTATATGTCTGGGTGCTATGCTGTTGGGTGCATTTTATTATAGAATTGTTACATCCTCTTTCTGAAATGATCCCCTTTAATCATCACGTGATGACTTTCTTTGTCACTTTTTACTGTTTTTGGCTTAAAGTCTATTTTATCTAAGTATAGCCACTGCTGATAACTTTTTGTTTCTGTTTGCATGGGATATCTTTTTCCATCCCTCTACTTTCAGCCTATATGTTGGGTGAAGACAGGTAAGATGAGTTTCTTGTAGGCAACATAGAGATGAATCATGTTTTCTTCATCCATTCAGCCAGTCTATGTCTTTTAAGTGGAAGTTTAATTCATTTACTTTCAAGATTATTATTGCTATGTGGGGTCTTATTCCTGTCATTTTATCATTTGTTTTCTGGCTTTTTTCTGTATCTTTTGTCCCTTTCTTTGTTATTTTTACCATTGTGGTTTGGTGGTTTTTCTATAGTGGTAATGTTTGAATTTTTTTTATTCCTTGCCTATGCATTTCTACTACCAGTGGGTTTTATGTTTTTGTGTATTTTCATGATGGTAGATATCATTCTTTCACTTCTGGGTGTAGGATTCTTTAAGCATTTATAGGGCTGTTCTAATGGTGAAGAATTCCCTCAGCTTTTGCTTGTCTGGGAAAGACTTTATTTCTCCTTCATTTATGATGGATAACTTTTCTGGGAATTCTGCTCTTGGCTGGCAGTTTTTTTCTTCCAGCACTTTGAATATCATCCCATTTTCTCCTGGCCTATAAGGTGCATGCTGAGAAATCCATTGGTAGTCTAATGAGGGTTCCTTTATAGATCATTTGATGCTTTCTCTTGTTTTTAGCATTCTCTCTCTGTCTTTGACTTTAGAGATTTTAATTATAATGTGTCGTACGGAAGTCTTTTTTACATTATATTTATTTGGGGATATCTCAGCTTCCTATATCGAGATGTCTAAATCTCTTGCTAGACTTGTGAAATTTTTACTTATTATTTCTTAAAATAGATATTCTAACTCTTTCACTTTCTCTTCACCTTCTGGGAATCTGACAATTTGAATATTTTATCACTTTATTTTATCCCATATGTCACACAGCCTTTGCTCGTTCCTCTTTATTCTTTTTCTTTACTTTTTTCTGACTGTGTTATTTCAAAAGATCTGTCAGAGAAGGGATTCTCCATGACTTTATGCCTTGTGTTATTCCGTGATTCAACTTTGAAGCCCATTAAAGGCAGTAATCTGCCATGGACACCTGTGCTTGGCATAAAGCCCACTCCAGATAATCTGAGGCATTGCTGAATGCTCTCCCATTCCCCAAGTATCCTGTGACCATTCAAAAAGCATGGAACTGTCTTAGAATGGTAGGTTCCCCCTGCGAAGTGGCTATATTACAAACCCTGCACTTTGCCCCTCATCATCCACAGCCCTTCTTAACCCAGTCACTGGTTCACAAGGAACACTACCATCTAGCTCCCTAGTTTTAGTGTGTGTTATTCGAAGTCCTGCATGTCCACACCAACTTATCCATGGCCTGTCATCCAAGGAAGGATGGATGCATGCAAAATATTAATTTGTTATTAGAGAAGTTTCTACTTTGCTAGTGATTAAGTTTTGCTCACCAAACTTAGCTTATCCATGATTTTCAATCCAAACCACCTAAGCTTCAGTAGCAACAATGATTGCTACCCCACTAATTTTCCTTTCCATCAACTATCCCTACCCCACCCCATACCCAGTTCCAATAACATACAGTCAATAAATATCTGTATAAATTATGAATCACCATGAAGAAATTCCAATATGGGAGGATTTTTGCCCTCCTAGTGCAGATATTTCAAGCATGCTTGAGCTGAAAAACTCCAACATAAGCTATTAATAGATAGAGC